AAAGGTATTAGATTCCAAGAGTGGTTGTGTAAAAGCAATGAATATCTATCCCTTAAAATTAATAAAACAAAAACGTCCTCCTGTCTAACAGTACTAACTAAACAGCCCATGCACATTGAATATATACATTAAGTCCTTGATGGGCAAAAGTTACACACTAATACAGTAATAGAAGAAACAAATGCTATAGGTATGAAAAACAGAGGGAGGGAAGAACGAAAGAGAGTAGGGAGGGAAAATTCTCGCCTCCTGTCATTATTAAAATTAAGATTATTAGTACACTAAAGCTAACATAATCTTCAATTTTACCACGTGACAGGAGGCTTTGTATTTTGCTATTTCAACGCTGAGAAAGTAGAGCAAAAGCTGGATTAGATAGAGGACGGAAGTAGAACATCTTAAAGGTGGATTCTCTAGTCCAGTCCGCCGCTCGCAAGATATCTGGAAGGGAGGCACCTGCCGCTTAAGCGGAAGAGGCAGCGGCCCCGCGAATGGAGTGTACTCCAAAAGCTTGGTCAATCCCGGCAAGGGCTAAGAGCCATCTAACCCATCTTGCCAATTTAGTGACCGAGACTGTACTGTAGGGGCAGACGTAAGAGATGAGAAGTTGACGATAAAAGTTGGGTAAAAGACCCAGGAAGAGTCGGAATTTGTGCGTCGTGAGACCTGGAAGTTTACACCCGCTGGGCAAAAGGTAAATGCGTCGCCGTCAAAAGCGCATACATCGGACACCCGACGAAAGGAGACCAGGCAGAGAAGAAAGGTGAATTTCGCCATAAGCTGGCGGAGTGATAATTTCTCGTTAGGAGGCCAGTCCTGCAAAAATTGTAAGACAATGCCAACGTCCCAAAGTCTTGAGTATTTGGGTTCCGGGGGGCGCCGAATGCGCATGCCGCGGAGGAGTCTACAGATGAGTGGGTCCTGACAAACAGGTGTCCTTTGAGTTGGAGTATGGGCCGCTGAAATGGCTGAAGTATCACGTTGATGGACCGGTATGATTTTACGGCTGTGAATAGGGAGGTGAGGAAATTCATGATGATGGGAATAGGTGCAGTAAAGGAATTGATATCCCGTCCCAGACACCAATTTGTCCAGCAGTGACATGCTGATAAATAGCACCTCCTTGTTCCTGGTGCCAATGAATCCCATAGGAGATCCCTAGTTTCCTGCGATAAGACCTCGGTTAGCCAGGAACCCCGGAAAGAGTCCAGGCCACCAGAAGAAGCAGTTCCTCCCTTCGGGTGGGGTAGTCCCATCGGGTTCCTGAGGATGGTCGCAGTATCTGGTAGGAGGAGGGGATCCTTGTTTGACAGTTCCAGAAGGTCCAGGAACCATGGTTCTGCCATAGTGGCGTACTGAGGGCCAGCATCACCCTCTGTATGCGGATCCGGTGAAGGACTCTCGTAATCATTGAGAAAGGTGGGAATGCGTAAGCTCCGCATTGTGGCCATAGTTGCAGAAAGGCGTCCGTTGCTAGGCTCTCCGGGTCTGGGAGCCAACTGAAGAAGTCCTTCGTCTGTCGGTTGTTGTGGGAAGCGAATAAATCTAGGGAGAAGGGACCCATCTGCGCATCCAGTATCGCGAAAATATGAGGATCTAGTTGCCAGTCGCTGGCGTCTCGCACCAATCTGCTGTCATGCTGGATTCTCCCGATAGATGTTCTGCTAGCAGCGTGATGTTGCGTGGTAGGCAATAATCGAAGATCTCCTTCGTGAGTTCTACTAGTGCTTGGGAACGTGTGCCTCCGAGGCGGTTGATGTATCTTACCGCTGAGACATTGTCCATCCGGAGTAAGATGCTGCGTATGGCAAACGGTCCTGCCAGGAGCTCCAGACAGTTGATGTGCATTGAGAGTTCTTGGGAGGTACATACTCCTCCCGTGGAGGAGGTTCCGTCTGTTGCTCCCCAGCCTGAGCGGCTGGCTTCTGATTCCAGCACGAAGTCTGGCTGGTTTCCGTATATGGCCCGGCCATTCCAGGCCTGCATGCAGTTCAGCCACCAGTGCAATTCCTCCCAAAACCTCATCTGACATAGGGACCGGTTGGTCGTATGTTGGGTTTCTGCAAAGGAATTTGGCCTTGAGGCGTTCCATGGCCCTGTAATGCAGGGGTCTGGGAAAAATGGCCTGGATGGATGATGAGAGAAGGCCCACAATGCGTGCCAGTAGTCGCAGGGATATTGATGTCAGTTGAAGGACTTTCCGAATTTCTCTGCGGATGGCGGCAATTTTTACAGCCGGGAGGCGTAGAGTGCACAATGTGGAGTCTTTCTTGAATCTGAGGAATTGGACCAACTGAGCCGGGATC